GGGTTTTTTTCCTCTAAAATCCGAGATATTTAGTCAAGCATTTATTATACTTTCTTTGTGTGAGGCGCGTGAAAAGAATTGGAGAGAACACAAAAGTGAGCAAAATGATGTTCTACTTTGAAAGAGCAAGCAATTCAGGAGAGGAAATTAGAGCCCAGAGACAGTGGTAACAGACAGATGGGATAAGTTACATAAAAAAATATGTTTCCTAAAATGACATTTTTTCCTAATTAAATATTCTTTAATAGCAAGCACATCATGTAGTATTTTTTACATCCAAATGAAGTTGACAGAAACTTCTGGATAGTCATTCATTAATGATAAATGACAATAATTATTTTTTTTTCTAAGATGGAGTCTTATTCTGTCACCCATCGCTGGTGGCGCGATCTCAGCCTATTGCAACCTCCACCTCCTGGGTTCAAGCAATTCTCCTGACTTAGCCTCCCAAGTAGCTGAGATTACAGGCATATGCCACCACATCCAGCTAATTTTTGTATTTTTTGGTAGAGATGGGGTTTCACCACATTGGCCAGGCTGGTTTTGAACTCCTGACCTTGTGATCCACCTGCCTCGACCTCTCAAAGTGCTGGGATTACAGGCATGAACCACTGTGCCAGACTGACATTAATAATTAATAATCAGAAGAACAAAACCACCAAAAAATAAATAACACAGGAATGGTAACCAATTAAATTTCAACTATAAAGTGTGTAAAATATAATGTCCTCCTACATATCTATTAGAATGGCCAAATTCCAGATGTAGATCAATAGGAAACTACATCCATTACTGGTGAAGTGCAAAACAGTACAGCCACTTGGGAGGCAGTTTGGCAGTTTCTTATAAAACCAAACATACTCTTACCATGCAATCTCACTCTTTGAAATTTACCCAAAGGAGTTGAAAACATGTCTCCATGAAACCTACACATGGATTTTTGTTTGTTTTTGAGACAGGGTTTTACACTGTCACTCCATCAGCCAGGCTGGAGTGCAGTGGTGCCACCATGGCTCACTGCAGCCTTGACCTCCCTGGTTCAGGTGATTCTCCCACTCAGCCTCCTGAGTTGCTGGAACTAGAGGCACGCACCACCACACCCAGTCAATTAAAAAAAAAAATTGTTTGTAGAGACAGGATTTGGCCAAGTGGCCTAGACTGGTATAAAACTTCTGGACTCAAGTGATCCCCTCGCCTTGGCTTCCCAAAGTGTTGGGATTACAGGCGTGAGCCACTGCACCTGGCCCACATGGATGTTTATAGCAACTTTATTCATAATTGCTAAAAAAAAACTTGGAAGCAACCGATAGATCCTTCAGTAGGTAAATGAATAAATGAACTGTGATACATTTAGACACTGGGATATTATTCAGTGCTAAAAAGAAATGAGCTATCAAGCCATGAAAATACATGAAGAAATTTTAAATGCACAGTACTAAGTGAAAGAAGCCAATCTGAAAAGCCTAAAAAACAAAAAATGTTTAGTTTTATAAGAGTATGTTTAGTTGAATATACATACTGCATGATTCCAACTATATGACATTCTGGAAAAGGCAAAACTGTGGATACAGTGAAAAAAAAAAAAAAAAACAGTGAATGCCAGAGGTTGGGGGCAGGGGATGATTAAGTGGAACACAGAAAATTTTTAGGGCAGTGAAATTACTCTGTATGATAGTACAATGGTGGATATACATCATTATGCATTTGTCTAAGTCCATAGACTGTACAACAAGAGTGAACCCTAATGTAAACTATGGACTTTAAATGATAATGACATGTCACTGTTGGTTCATCAAGTAACAAATATGGCGCTCTGGTGGGAGGTGTTGATAGTGGGTAGCCATGCACGTGATGGGTGGCAGAAATATATGGGATATCTCCATTTCTTCCATTCAACTGTGCTGTGAACCTCAAACTACTGTTAAAAAAAATTTCTAAAATGTGTGCATGTGTGAGGGAGAGAGAGACAGCAAAAGTGAGAGAGCGAGAGAGAGAGATGCTATCAACTCTCTAATATTTGAAATAACATAGAGAAGCAGAGGTGAGTGCTATCCAAAAATCATTGCAATTTTCCTTGGAAGTCTTTTGTGCTTACAGTGTAGAGTATAAGAACTCGGTATTCTACGACCTGTTACCAGATCACAAAATGAACCTCACTGTGAAAACCTAGGAAGTTGTCATTTCCCAGCCCACATCCTGCATTAGCTCTTTCCTGGGTAGAAGTAGAAAGCTTTCCCTTGTTCGAAATAGAGTTCATTCTCTTGGAGTAAAAGTAGTTAAAATTTTGCTTTTCCAAGACTTACTTTTTTTTTTAATTGCATTTTAGGTTTTGGGGTACATGTGAAGAACACTCAAGATTGTTGCATAGGTACACACATGGTAGTGTGATTTGCTGCTTTCTTCCCCTTCACCTATATCTGGCATTTCTCCCCATGCTATCTCTCCCCAACTCCCCACCCTCAACTGTCCCTCCCCTATTTCCCCCCAACAGACCCCAGTGTGTAGTGCTCCCCTCCCTGTGTCCACGTGTTCTCATTGTTCAACACCTGCCTATGAGAACATGCGGTGTTTGATTTTCTGCTCTTGTGTCAGTTTGCTGAGAATGACGGTTTCCAGGACTTTCAATGAGTAAACTGTATGTCAACAAAGTATGATAACCCAATAACTACCACCCTTAGAGGGCGCTATGGTGCCTTCTGTGCCACCCAAATCAACTTCTCCCTCATCACAGCACGGCAGAACCACATAGCTTGCTGGGTCAGCTTTCTTTCCAAGTCTCAGTCCTCAGAATTTTGAACACCCTGCTTTTTACATGGTTTTCCTTACTGTTAAAAGAACATAATCACAGCAAGATAACAATTCTATAAAACCAAAAGAACCTAACCAAACTGATACTAGATAGAAGGTATGCATTGTCTTTGCTTCAAAAAAAAAAAAAAAATGACCATCACTATATGTATTTATAGCTACTGGTAACACCTTCATATTCCTTTCAAATGCAATGGTGGATTCCAAACACACTACCCCAAAGTATGGCACCTTGACATACTGAATATTTCAAGCTGAAGGAATTTGAGAGAACAGTAGAAACAGGATGTTCTCTCTGACCTTCACCTGTACTCCCCTGAAGCAGGGTGTAAGAATCTCTTGTGAAAGGTACTCACCCTAGACCCAGAAAAAAAGGAATAACCTCATCTCTGAAGACACAGGGACACAGAAGAATTTGAACAAATAGATTTACTATGTTCCCCCAAGTTTATTACCATTAGATGATACCCTTTTTTCCCACTCATATCTCTTTACGATTGTCCATTCTTGATCAAACCAGCTATAAAAAACCACTCAAGGTTGGCTGGGTCCAGTGGTGCACGCCTATCTATAATCTCAGCTCTTTGGAAGGCCAAGGCAGGAGGATCACTTGAGGCCAGGATTCCAAGACTAGCCTGGGCAATACTGCAAGGCCCCATCGCAAATAAAAATTTTAAAATATATATATATATTTTTTTTGAGACAGAGTTTCACTCTTGTTACCCAGGCTGGAGTGCAATGGTGTGATCTCGGCTCACCGCAACCTCCGCCTCCTAGGTTCAGGCAATTCTCCTGCCTCAGCCTCCTGAGTAGAGTAGCTGGGATTACAGGCACGCGCCACCATGCCCAGCTAATTTTTTGTATTTTTAGTAGAGATGGGGTTTCACCATGTTGACCAGGATGGTCTCGATCTCTTGACCTCGTGATCCACCCGCCTCGGCCTCCCAAAGTGCTGGGATTACAGGCGTGAGCCACCACGCCCAGCCTTTAAATATATTTTTAAAAACATTTGAGTTTAACTGTGTCTTTGGATGTTGATTTCCCTATGAAGGTTCCGGTGTCACATAAAACTTATATTAAATACATTTGTATGCTTTTCTTTTGCTAATCTGACTTTCGTTACAGGGGCCTCAGCCATGAACATAAGATGGGTAAGAAAAAGACAGTTTTCCCCTCCTATAGCATAAATAAAATTCCCAGTTTGGGAGGGAGAGGAAATGCTATTGAGCACCTGAAGTCTTTAGAATGGAATTGTAGCAATGGAGCTAAGAGACATTTCTGTCAGGCTGTATGATCCTGGGGGACAGAGCCCTGTCTTTTCTTGTTCATGTCTGATATAGTATGGATCTGTGTCCACACCCAAATCTCACGTCAAATTGTCATTCCCAGTGCTGGAGGTGGGGCCCGGTGGGAGGTGATTGGATCATGGGGGTGGATCTTTCATAAATAGTTTAGCACCATCCCGTTGGTGCTGTTCTTGTGCAAGAGTTCTCATGAGATCTGCTTGTTTAAAGTGTGTAACACCTCGCCCCCCACTCCCTGCTTCTGCTCCTACCATATGAGAGGTCTTGCTCCCCCAAACTTCTGTCATGATTGTAAGTTTCCTGAGGTTCCCCCCAGGTGCCGAGCAGATGCCAGCATTATGCTTCCTGTATAGCCTGCAAAATTGTGAGCAAATTAAACTTCTTTATCAATTACCCAGTCTCAGGTATTTCCTTATAGCAATGCAAGAAAGACCTAATACCATGTCCTTGCTTCAGTGTGTGCTGCAGGTTATTACCCACATAAATCTATGCTGAGTCGATTTGACGTTTTCCAGAATGTTTGTAAACTAACTCATATTTGACGTAAATAAGAAAACAATGACATGAAAAATAAAAACTGTAAGACAGAGGTGGGGACTGAGAAAGATGATAACTAAAATGTTATCTCAAGAGGGAAAAAGTGGCTGGTCAGGGCTTCCTTAGAGTGAGAAGAACAACTTGTACTGGAACCCATTTTCATCCCTAAAAGAAAAATCCACAGTACTGCAGGAATGACAGGGCTGGACAAGGCTGTTCAGATCCTCTTGAGTCAACCCTCTTATTTTACAGCTGGAAATAGAATTTCATAGCTGGAAGTAACATGCCTATGTTCTCCTAGCCAATGAGAGACGAAAGCAAGACAACGAATTCTTTTATCCTCACCTCACTGTGGGTCTCAACTGCTCCATGTGGTGGTGGTCACTTCATGGGTCCCAGCATCCGGAATAGATTTGGCTTGGCAGCAGAGAAGTTTTCTTGAAAAACCAAGTGCCACCTCAGAGTTCATGTCAAAACCACTGGATTACTTCCAGGGTGAAGGCTGCTGGGTCTGTGAGCAGCATCAGTGAGAAATAAGGAGCTGGTTGTGGTTACTGCCATTTGCATTTTGCCCAGACACATGGATATGGGAGACTTCCATCCCAGCCCAGAGCCCCTGCCAAGGACAGGCCATACAGGCACCCAGTTCCTCAAAATGCGTCCAATAGGTCTTTTGATGATTCATGGCCCCAGTTTCCAAGAGATCTAGATGACTAGAAACACTTCGGTGATGTCATGCAAGTCAAATCAGGAGTTAGCACAAGGAGAGATGTTTCATGCAAATGTAAAATCCCAGAATCCCAGAGTAAGGTAGGCATGGCCATCAGCAGAAATCAGCAATCCTATCACACTGCCTAGTCAGGTGGCTTTCTCATGTGCCCCTTGAAATGCGCATGTCACATACCTACAAACACGTAAGTTGTACAGTAACTTCAACCCACAAGATGGTTATTGTTTAATGGATGCTAAAGCAAAAAAGAAGTGCCTACTGTTTCCATTCATGTATTCAATCACCTATTCAACCCTGCATTAATTAGATCTTTATCAGCTGGGCACAGTGGCTCATGACTGTAATCCCAGTGCTTTGGGAGGCTGAGGCAGGAGAATCGCTTGAGGTCAGGAGTTTGAGATGAGCCTGGGCAACACGGACTTCAACTCTACAGAAAATACTTAAAAATTAACTGGGCACGGTGGTGTGCACCTGTAGTCCTAGCTACTCAGGAAGCTGAAGCAGGAGGATTGCCTGAGCTGTGGAGTGCGAGGCTGCAGTGAGCTATGCTTGCACCACTGCATTCCAGTCTGGGTGACATAGCAAGACCGTGGCTCTTAAAAAGAAAAAAGATATTTATTAAATGACTCACATTACAAGCACTGGGCTTGAAGATGGGTGCAAAAATGAATAAGAAACAATTCTTCCCTCATGGAGTTCCAATTCCTGGCAGGGTAATAGAGAAGAGAAATTACTAGGATGCAATGAGGAAAGTGCTCTAGTGGATGGGCATGGCTGCTGGATCTAGGGAGAACAGAGGAGTGAGGGAATCCTCTCTGATGTGTGGATGTTCATTCAATTAGAGTTCTCATGCCAAAGACTCACTAGTGGCTCATTTCATAAACTTACAGCCACACAATTTTCTCTCTTCAATGGCAAAAACCTCCAACAACATTAACTCCAAATTTCCCCAGTTGGTACTTAGTACACTTGTAGGATAAAATCTTGCCTTCCCCTCCCTCATCATTCTCCCCTTTAACCTATCAAGGCCCTTAGTTTATCTTGTTAGCTATAAGAAAATGCCCTTGCAAATTGGCAAGATTGCACATTACAGTCTGAACTAAATAGATTTGAAATACTTAAAGTTCAACTCTTCTATAATTAACAAGAGGAGCTTTTAAAAATTGTAATCTGGCCGGGCGCAGTGGCTCACATGTGTGATCCCAGCACTTTGGGAGTCCGAGGCAAGTGGATCACGAGGTTAAGAGTTCGAGACCAGCCTGGCCAAGATGGTGAAACCCTGTCTCTACTAAAAAAAAAAATTTGCGAGGTTTGGTGGCATACAACTTTAGTACCAGCTACTCAGGAGGCTGAGGCAGAAGGATTACCTGAACCCAGGAGGTGGAGGCTGCAGTGAGCCAAGATCGCACCACTGCACTCCAGCCTTGGCAACAGAATGAAAATCCATCAAAAAAAAAAAAAAAAAAAAAAAAAAAAAAATGTAATCTATATATTTTTTCATTTTTTCAAGTTAGGGAATTTTAGAACAAAGGGGGAGCTTAGAGGTATCTTGGACCAACTTCTCTGTTTTTAGACAAAGAAACTGAATCCTATACTAACTGAATGCAATAACCAAGCTCATAAAAATAGTACTAGAAGATAATTACTACCCAAATTATTGTAATCGCTGACAGAAATCACAGTTACTGCCTCTTAGTCACTGAAGATTTTAGACCCAACTCACTGTCTCCCTTCAATATTATTCCTGCCATAATTCTTGGGCATTTTGATACCAAAGGTATCAAAACATAGGTGATATGAACATAGGTGGTATGTTCGATGCATTAGTTTGCCAACGTTTTACTTTTCACCAACAAGGATCTTGTACTCCATCTCCCCACAGCCACCTACCTCCATGGTCATACCCTGGTCTCTGTCATTACCAACAAATGCATCCCATTCAAATCCCCAGTTTCCAGCATCCCACTCTCCTACCATCAGCTCACACCCTCTTCCACCCTAACTATAACAGTGTTTGACCCTACTGGCTTCTCATTTTTAATTTCCATTCCCCCTGCTAACATTCTGACCTCTTGGCGTAATCAGCTCAAAGTAATGCTTACGAGTAACATCATAAGCAGACACCCTCAATTTCAACTTCACACTCCTTTAGTCAGAACTACCTGACAAAAATCCAGCCTTGGGGTCAGGTGCAGTGGCTCAGACTTAAAATTCCAGCAACTTTAAGAGGCTGAGGTGGGAGGATTGCTTAAGACCAAGAGCTCAAAATCAGCCTGGGCAATATAGCAAGACCCTGTCTCTACAAAAACAAATACAAAACTTAGCTGGACATGGCAGTGCACAACTGTGGTCCCAGTGACTCAAAAGGCTGAGGCAGGAGGCTCGCTTGAGCCCAGGAATTTGAGGCTTCGGTGAAATATAATTCCACCACTGACTCCAGCGTGGGCAAGAGCAAGACTCTGTCTCTAAATAAATAAATGAATAACTCCAGCCTGAGTCAAATCTGCTTTCTGTACTCACTCGTTTCCTACACCTGTGTATCTGAATATGGTTACAGAAGAGCACAATGATGCTGACAGGTATCTCTTTAAAATCATGACCACAGCCGGGCACGGTGGCTCACAACTGTAATCCTAGCATTTTGGGAAGCCAAGGCAGGCAGAACACAAGGTCAAGAGATCAAGACCATCCTGGCCAACATGGTGAAAAACATCTCTACTAAAAATACAAAAATTAGCTGGGCATGGTGATGTATGCCTGTAGTCCCAGATACTTGGGTGGCTGAGGCAGGAGAAGCACTTGAGCTTGGGGGGCAGAGATTGCAGGGAGCTGAGATCATGCCACTGCACTCCACCCTGATGACAGAACAAGTCTCCATCTCAAAAAAAAAAGAAAAGAATTATGACCACAAACAACAGGCTGACCCTAAGTAGTGTCACCCGCCATTCTTTGAGAACATTCACCAAGTCCATTCTCCTAAAGAACTATTTCACATCTTCTTTCTTCTCAAACCTCCCAAATCGTTTCCTCTCTTTAAGATTTGCTAATTGCTTCTTATTTCAATGAGAAATGAGAAAATCCCTATCAATAAATTTACTAACTTTTCGTACCTATAGCCATATACCTTGTTTTCCTTTTTATGACAATAAACCTTGTCCTTGTGCATTAGAACCCACTTCTTCTTGCCTACTCAACAATGTCAGTTCTGTAATATAACCTCTTTCTCCTGCATCAGCTTTCTCTCTCCACTGAGTCATTTCCATGAGCATTTACACATCTTAAAATATTACTATTGACCCCACATTCCCTCCCAGTAAGGCCCCATTTCTGTGTTCTTGTCAAAGTCACCTATGACTTCCCCGCTGCCCAATCCAATGAATGATTTTCATATCTCCTTTTATATATCAGCAGGATTTGACCATCCTTTTTTCTTGTCCTTTGCTTGACTGTCCTTTGCTTCTTGAAATATTTATTCTCTTAGTTTCTGGACAACACACTTCTGCTCTTCATCTCTGGCTACTCTGCCTCAGCATCTCTGGTGGATGCTGTTCTTCTTGCCAATTTTTAAATATAATTCCTAGGGTTTGGGTCTCAGGCCTCTTCTCTACCTACCATTCCTTTGATAATCTTGGTCCATTGGCTTTTTGGGAGACTAGAATATGCCATCCCAAAATATGCCTCTTTTTTTTTTCTTTTTTTTTTTTGAGACGGAGTTTCACTCTTGTTACCCAGGATAGAGTGCAATGGCACGATCTCGGCTCACTGCAACCTCCGCCTCCTGGGTTCAGGCAATTCTCCTGCCTCAACCTCCTGAGTAGCTGGGATTACAGGCACGCGCCACCATGCCCAGCTAATGTTTTGTATTTTTAGTAGAGATGGGGTTTCACCATGTTGACCAGGATAGTCTCGATCTCTTGACCTTGTGATCCACCCGCCTCGGCCTCCCACAGTGCTGGGATTACAGGCTTGAGCCACCGCGCCCAGCCAAAATATGCCTCTCAAAGGACTGTTGAACAGAAGGCAATTAAAGAGAAGCAGTTGCAGTAAAGTGCTCTGCCCTCCTTCAATTTGCCTAAAAGCGAGACATGAATTTATAAATACTAAAGACACCCAGTCCCCACATCCCCTTCTATCAGAGAGAACAAAGGCTGACCAGTGGAGACAACTTTAGACCGTTCTGGGCCTGGAGATAGTACAAGCGACATCTACATTAACAAGTTTTATTCACCAGCATTTATCTGATGGTCATTTGCCTTCTTATAAATTGCCACCCATCGAGAGTTAAAGTCCTTTTCCTTTGTCTCTTGTCACATCCCTAAAAATGCACTGTTCTTTGTTCAAGATTCTATATGAAGCTCAAATTCAAAGCCACCTTTTTGAGAATTACTCATTCCTTGGGTATCTCCTGTGAATATATGAAATAAACACGTTAATAAATTTCTGTTTGTATTTCTCTTGTTAATCCACCTCTTGTTGCAAGGATCCATTCCAACTGAGAATTTATGAGCTGCTGGGAGTGTTAGTGCTGACAGCTTTTAGCTGAGTCCCTCTGCAGGAATTGCCTATAACTAAAAAGAGCCACCTTGCCCAGTGTCTTAGCTTAACCCAGTGACTGGTCAATATGAAAACAACAATGCCTGGCCCCTTGGCAACCACTTTGATGGATGACCAAGCTTCAGAGCTTCTCCTAGTATTGCAGGATCTGTGAAGGCCCCTATTGCATCTGCATTCCATTCCCTCCACTACTGGTGATACTCAGTACATCCCTGTAAACCACCTACAGTCAAATCTTCTCAAAAAACTTAATCTGCAACATGGGGATGAGGGGAGGGTGAGGTCAATCTTGAAAATAAACAGGGAGAGAGGGTGACTGTGAGTGGCAGGATGGAGAAGAGCAAGGTCAAAGTTCTTGCCAAGAATCACATGCTCTGAGGTTCCCTTTTCACCCCAGAACACATAGAATTCTGAGGTTGTACTCATTGTAGACCTAATACTGTTAATATGTTTTAAGAAAAGAGAGGCAAAAAAGTTAGCCTTTCTGCCCCAAGATCTTGTAGAAGTTTTCATTTTTTATGGTGAATCCTTAACAAAAGCTGAACAGGCACTGTAATTATAGTTGACCCTTGAATAACTTGGGTTTGAACTGAGTAGGTCCACTTACACGTGAATTTTCTTCCTCCTCTGCCACCCCTAAGACAGCAAGACCAATACCTCCTTTTCCTTCCTCCTCTCGGCCTGCTTAACAGGACGACAAGGAGGATGAAGGCTATCACAAGGATCTACTTCCACTTAATAAACAGTAAATATACTCTCTCTTTCTTATGATTTTCTGAATAACATTATCTTTTATCTAGGTTACTTTATTGTAAAAATATAGTATATAATACATGTAACATACAAAATATGTGTTAATTGGTTCTTGATGTTATTGCCAAGGTTTCCAGACAACAGTAGGCAAGTAGTAATTAAGTTTTGGAGGAGACAAAGGTTATAATGAAGACCAAAAACTATAAGAACCCTAGAATAAAGTCTTGGAAAAACCATTCTGGATATGGGCCTTGGGAAGTAATTAATAACAAAGGCCTCAAAACCAATTGCAACAAAAACAATCATTGACAAGTGGGACCTAATTAAACTAAAGAGCTTCTACACAACAAAAGAAACTATCAACAGAGTAAACAGACAACTCACAGAATGGGGGAAAATATTCATAAACTATGCATCTGACAAACATCTAATATCTGGAATCTATAAGGAACTTAAGCAATTCAGCAAGCAAAAAACAATTCTATTTTTTAAAAAAATGGGCAGAGGACATGAACAGACACTTCTCAAAATAAGGCATACAAATGGCCAATAAACATAAAAAAATGTGTATCGTCCCTAATCATCAGAACCATGCAAATTAAAACCACAGTGAGATACCATCTCATACCAGAATGGCTATTATTAAAAGTCAAAATACAACAGATATTTGATGAGGCGGTGAAGAAAAGGGAATGCTTATAGACTATTGGTGGGAATGAACATTAGTTCAGCAACTCAACAATGTCAGTTGGAAAGCAGTTGAGAGATTTTTCAAAGAACTTAGAACTACCATTTCATGCAGTATTTCCCTGACTGGGTATACATCCAAAAGAAAATAAATCATTCTACCAAAAAGATACACACTTGCTTATTCATCACAGCACTATTCACAATAGCAAAAAAACTGAATAAACCCAGGTGTCCATCAACAGTGGACTAGATAAAGTACAGTACATATACACCATAGAATTCTATGCAGCTATAAAAAAGAATGAAATTATGTCCATTGCAGCAACACAGATGCAGCTGGAGGCTATTATCCTAAACAAATTAACACAGGGACAGAAAACCAAATACCACATGTTCTCACTTACAAGTGAGAGCTAAGCATCGGGTACTTATGGACATAAGGACAGCAACAATAGACACTGGAGCTCACTAGACATGGGAAGGAAGGAAGATGGCAAGGATTGAAAATCTGTGGGTTGGTCAGGCATGGTGGCTCCTGCTTGTAATCCCAGCACTTTGGGAGACCAAGGCAGGCAGATTGCTTGTGCTCAGGAGTTCAAAACCAGCCTAGGTTACACAGCAAAACCCTGTCTCTACAAAAAATACAAAAATTACTCGTGTGGTGGTATGCACCTGTGGTCCCAGCTGCCCAGGAGCTGAGACAGGAGACTTACTTGAACCTGCAGTTGAGGCTGCAGTGAGCCAAGATATGTCACTGTACTCCAGCCTGGGCAACAGAGTGAGATCCTGTCTCAAAAAAAAAGAAAAGAAAAGAAAAAGAAAAAAATAATTGAAAAAACATAAATAAATTAAAAAAGGAAGGAAGAAAGAAAGGGAGGGAGGGAGGACAAGGGAAGAAGGGAGAAAGGGAGGGAAAAACTGTTGAGTACTATTCTTAGGTCCTGGGCGACAGGATCATTCATAACATCAGCATCACACAATATACCCAGGTAACGAATTTGCACTTCTACCCCGTATTGAAAATAAAAAATGGACAAAGAAAAAAAAGGATATACATGGATTTTTCACCGTGCAGGTAGTTAGCATCCCAAACCCCAATTTGTTCCAAGATCAACTGTATATTATTGTCAAAGTCTTCTCCAGATTTTCCTAGCAAGGACCTCCCTACCAGATGTTACAAGAAAAACCTGGGACTATACCATTCCCCTCCCCAAAACTGGGAAGGAACAGAGAGATTTAAAAAATGACTTCAACAAGTCCAATTTGGTGAGTAGATGAGTTTATTAGCACTTACATACAGAGCACTCCTAGATGACAGCAGGATAGCTCTAGAGATGTGCACTGCCTCACATCTCTCAACTGCTTTTTTTTTTTTTTTTTTTTTTTTTTTTTGAGAGAGAGCATGTCGCTCTATCTCCAGGCTGGAGTGCAGTGGTACGATCTCCGCTCACTGCAATCTCTGCCTCCTGGCTTCAGGCAATTATCCTGCCTCAGCCTCCTGAGTAGCCACACCCAGCTAATTTTTGTATTTTTTCAGTAGAGATGGGGTTTCACCATGTTGGCCAGGAAGGTCTTGATCTCTTAACCTGGTGATCTGCCCGCCTCAGACTCCCAAGTGCTTGGATTACAGGCATGAGCCACCACACCCAGCCTCAACTGCTTTTAAGATAATTTTTTGGCTGTTTGCCCACTGTGTTTCAGTGATGTGACTGTTTTTCTTGGTGGGTTCTCAGATACCCTCAGTTTGGGTCTCAGCTATACCTGCTTCTCAGCTGGGCAGCATGGCCTTAGCTCACCATTTGGCCTTCAAGATTCAAGCAGCCAATATAAGTCTTTAAGTAACCTGGTGGGGAACCTAGCATGCTAAACCAGAAGTCCCTGCAGGAGAAATACACTTCTTTTCCCAGGTTTGGCCTTGTGACTTTCTTGCCCAATGAAACATGAGTGAAAGTGACATGTGTCACTTAAGAAAAGTTTTAAGGGCTACTGTGGTTCTCTTTTAAACACTTTACTAAATTGGTAATATTCCAGATAGGGGCTGCTCCTTTAGCCTGCATTCTGGAGTGACATATTGAAACTGATTCTCAAAGACCATGTCATGTGAATGAGAAATAGCCCTTTGTTTTAAGCCACTAAGTTTTGCAATTATTGGCTGCATCAGTATACTTTAGCCTCAGCATATGATACAGCAAAAATTCTGGAAAGGGCCAGCAAATTCTGGAAAGGGCCAGACAGTAAACATTTAAAGATCTGCAGGCCATACGGGTCTGTCACAACTACTCGATTCTGCCACTGAAGTGCAAAAGCACTGGGAGATAATATGTAGAGGAGTGGGCATGGCTGTGTTTCAATAAAACTTTATTTGCAACAACAAGCAGCAGACTAGTTTCGAACCGCAGGCTGTAGTTAGCCAGTCCCTGATGCGGATACTGGCTGCTTGCTAAAAACTCTGCAGGCAAATCCCTAAATCCATATCTTTGCTAATTTTACCCACCTAGTATTATTTCTCTAAGTTTTGTATTAAAGATGACAGAGAATGAACTGCGTTATATAAGTTTGTAGAGCCTATTTATTTAAGTAAGGCTTAAATGGACAAAAAAGCACAGGATGGCAGATTTAATATTTCTTGATGGAAAGAAGAAAAAAAACTAGAAATGATATCTCCAGTTGCACATTCTTCAAAATCAATTGAGAAGACACGGGGGAAGAGAATCAGGGAGAAAAGACAAAAGGCTCAATTAGAAAGGGGTAAAAAGAAGAGAAATGGAAACGTGAAGAGAAATAATCCATCTGTGAGAGAAAATTGAATGAAGCTGGAATTCCTGTATCTGGCTGTTATCAGCACCAAGGCCAGATAGCATGCTCGTTCCTCTACTGCCACCCTCAGTTCTCTCAGGATCCTGGCTCTATTGTTGGCAATTTGCACTGATGGTTTAAATGACCCAGGTTGCAACTCCAAGGAGTACTTTTGCCATTTTTTATTTTACCTGCATCTTGCTGAAATCCATGGAGGTTCAAGAATGATAGGACTTGAATAAATGATTTCGAATGGTGGAGGGAGAGGACAAATTAAAGATTAAGAATTAACTGGGGCCAAGGTTAGTGTTGTGAGTGAGGAGACACAGAGCAGAAGTGGGGATTCCGGGAACAAGGAATTTGGAGACCACCTGTTTGTGTCAGCTATGAAGTTGAGTTTGCATGCAGTTGTACAATTTCACAAAAGCAGTAAAGTCAATCAATAGATATTAATTATGACTGGGATCTGGAGGTGTACGATGCAAGCAAAATTACAGAACAAACAGCTCTGGGAGACCTGGGCCTGGCTGTGGACTCCTGCATTTTATCACACTTTGTCTTGGAACCAGGGGTAATAAGATCACAGAAATATAATTTTTTCACCTATTA